TAAAAAAAAAAAAAAAAAAAATCAATTAAAATAGTGAAAACCCACCACAATTTGAAGAACAAGCATCAGAGGCAGAGTCAGGTACGGCATGGGTGCTGGAACCAGCAAACCAGGGAATAGAAAAAACTGCAGTTAATATGCTAAGAGGATACTGGAAAAAGACGACCATGTAAGAATAGGTGAGCAATGTAAGCAGAGATATCAGTGACAGGAAAGAATAAAGAGAAATGCTAGTGATCGACAGCACTGGAACAAAGAGGAAGGCTGGGAAGGCGTCTGATGGGCTCGCCGGTAGACTTGGCTCAGGAAAGAATCTGAGCTGAGGCTATAGCCACAGAAACTACCAAAGCTGAAAACCAAAAAGGAAAACCAGCTGGGGAAAAAAGAACAGGATATCCAAGAACTGTCACAACTACAAAAGGGGCAAAGACAGATACTGGAACACCAGACTGAAGAGGAAGAACAGAGCAGCATTTGAAGCAATAAGGCCTGAGAGTTTCCCCACATTAATGTCGGAAACCAAATCACAAATCCAGGGAGCTCCAAAAGCACCAAGCAGAATGTACGTCAAAACAATGAAATCTAGGCTTAACAATGCTGCTGGGTGCTAACACTAGAGAACTGTCCTGCTTGCCCGAGGTTCAAACCTAACTGGGAATCGGGTATCTCACGGGGCGGTCCTCGGGCAGGTGAGGGAAAGAGAAGAACCAGAACAGGCTGTGCTGGGGGAGGGAAAGGGAGGCAGCTGAAGTCAGAGAGCAGCTGCTAGGATGGGCAAGAACCTGGGAAGACAGATGTGCTAAGAGAAATTTAGGATTTACTGGGTGTTGTTGCTCAATGTAACTTATCCTTTGCCACATCTTCAAGAAAAGCTGAATAAAGGCCTACGTTACTTTTCCAAAAAAAAAATCAGATGGGAGACTATCTCCTCTAAGAAACCTTCCCTTCCCTTTGCGCTGACAAACGTGTCCCCCTGGGCTAGCTGGGGACTCAGTGCATCGGCACTGAATTGTGCCTGTAGCTCCAGAGGGCAGAGGTGAAGGGCCACCAGCATCTCGAGCAGTGTCAGGCACAGATGTCTGCTCCACATGAAGCCTACAAGCTGCAGCATCATGAGCCCAGTAGTCTTAACTGCAGCCCATCACTCAGCAGGGTTAAGGAAAGAAGCAACTTCAAAACCTGAATTATGTTATAATTAAAATCCATACTTACTGCTTCAAAAGTATTCAGTATCACCAGAGGGAAGAAAACCTTGAAATAATCTCCAGAGTCTTGAAACCTGACAGGCACGGGTCTTGAGATGGCCTGACAAAGACTCAGCGGGGGCCCACACTGGTCAAACTTCACAAACATCTCATACTTCCATTTCAAGACCTCTTTGACGAAGGCGTCGGAGGTGGACTGTGACGACGAGAACGCGCTGACCTGAGCAGACGGAAAAGGTTTGCTCTCAGCAAACGGGAGTCTGAACGCCTGCCTGCTGGGGCCACTCGGGGTCGGGGAATGAAGAACGCCGCACGGGATCTTCAGGTCACCCACCAGCTTCGGAGACGCCAGAGGGGCCAGCTGTGCTCCTTTCGGAACAGACTGTCCCCCATCTAACTTATTCTTTAGGCCCGGGAGCGCCGAGGCGCTTTCCAAAGACTTGGAGAGATGAGCAATTCGTGAAGTGCTGCTGGAGCTAAAGACCTTCGCGGTGGAAGGCCGCAGAGGCCTCGGAGCGGAGAGAGGCAGGCCCGGTCTACGGAAGACATCTTCATCGGCGGCTTTAGTTTCTGAGTGTTTCGAGCAGTAGTCGCCCTGGCTTTTCACAGTCTCAGCACAATCTTTGTACTTGCATCTTGCGCTACTCAGAGATTCCAACTGAGGCCGGTGTACAGAATCCTCTACCTGAGCCCTATCTTTCCAATGGACCTCTTCGATGAGTCTATTATCAGGATCATTCTGCATCTGTGAACACAAGTCCATATCTTCGGGATCATGCTGTGTTAAGAAGATATCATCTCCCTCCACGTCGCTGTCGGAGTCAGGCTGCCCCTTTTTCAAAGTTGCCGGCTCTAAATGCTGCCCACCCGCCGGGCCCTCGGGAGCGGAGGGCGCCGCCTCACGTGCTGGTATTCTCCCATTTAACACTGGGGGATCGCACGGCTTCGGGACACTAGTGTCGCTAGCCGCCGGAGAAACGTATTTTGCTGTCACAGGTTCGCGTTCAGGAGACACACACGTCGACTGATGTCCACTGCTGTTAGCTGTTGCCTCGGCTCCTCCTCTGTTACCGTCACCTGACCTACCTAACTCTGGGGCGACCGGGTTGGAATTCCGGGCTGCACGTGGTCCTGCTCTTGCAGTGCCCGCGCTTTCGTAAAGTCCTTGTCTGCTCCGTCGAGATCTGGGTCTCGTCTGCCTTTGAAACTGAAGATCTTGACTCACAAGCAATTTCTTATCTTTCACAGGAAGAGTCTGAGGAGAAATCAGTTTAGTCTTTTTTTGGTTATCAATTACTCCAACAGTTTTGCCATGCTCACGCAACTGACCTATGATGTCTAAAGATCGCTGAGACAACTCAAACGCCTGACGACGAGCCTTTATCAGACCAAGTTTCTCAGCCCTTGAAGCTGGTTCAGGACACTGGCGAAATTTCTTTGGTGGCACTATAGCAGGAGTTGTTCTACAACTTATGTAATCTGAACTCTTATTCTGCCCTTTTTTGGTATCTGAATATGTTTTTTTGGGCGTTTTAGAAACTGAGACTCTCCTGACAGGTTTGGAATAAGTACGAAGCTTTGGAGACTTCTTTAGGGAAACCGAAGTGGCTCTCTCAACACTTGAATTGGGAGATGTCCTCATGTCTATAATTTTTAAATCATTTTCAGTTAGATCTCTCTCATTAAGACTATCAGACTGGTCCTCCTTTTTGAGAGAAGATGAAGGCCTTAAAGTGTCTTCAGCCATCAGTTTTTTACACTGCTTTCTCTTAGGTTTTTTTACTCGAATTTCACATAATTCCTCAAGAGTACTGCTGTTCTGTGGCTCTGCACGCTCGATGCCCTCTGCTCCCTTGCTGGTAACTTCTTCCAACATGGGATAGTCTGTATCATAACCCCAGTCGTTTGTGATATCAGCTGTGTGACTCACACAGCAGCTTTTTTCATCCTCTTGAACTGAATCCCTGCTGTCTGGTTTCTGATCTTGCCAAACCGAAAACACTTTCTTTTGGCTTTCAAACTCAAAAACCTGAGAATCACAGTCCTCGAACAGCACGAGGAAATCTGCCTTTTCTTCCTTTGCTAGCTTCCTGCTCACATGTGGAGTAGCTGCTGAAGCACCCTGCCCAGGACACTCCTTCTCAATGCACGTTTCACCTTGTTTACTGTTTCTCTCAGAATCTGGAATTCGTCCATCACCATCACCATCATCATCTGAAATGATGATAACTGGTTCATGGCAGGTTTCCTTGACATCATTTTGGCTGGCTCTGAAACTTCTTTTATCTTTTACTTTTCTTTGCAGCTGGGATGAGATTTTTTGAGTTGAATCTGATGGAAACTTAATGACACTGGCTTGAGCTATTAAAGATAATTTGTGGAGGTCTCTGTCTACCTGAGAATCTGTTAGGGTGTCACACTGAGGACTGATGCTAGGGGCCTGTTCTCTCTGGTCAGAAAAAACCTGATCAATGCTCTTGCTAATTCCCTTATCTCTTGATCCAAGTAAAGTCACAGGATCTTTAGAAAGAGATGTTCTATGCATCAAAGTATTGATTTCTGTAAATGAGAGCTCTTTATCATCAACTTGACATTCCTGAATCTGACAACAGTTTTCACGGGAAGGAGGAACATCTAACTCATTCTTCAACTGCTTATTTTTCAGCAATAAGCCATTATGCGATTCCTGTCCTCCATCCCTCTGACCCAGACCATCAGTAGGCTCTAGAGAGAGGCTGTGTCTGCAGCTATCCCTTTTCTGACCTGCGGTATCTGTCCTTGAACAAAAGTTCTCAGTGTCAGACACAAATAGGTCTCCTCCCAAGTCCACAGTATTACCGACCAAGGCACATTTCCTGTGCTGCTTCTTCATTACATGAGATAACTTCACGCACATTTCACTTTTCTGTGCCTTACTTTTTGCTTTTGAAGTTTTGCCAAGAACACCATCCTTTAGAGAGAAATCCTCTTTTGACGTGGACACCTTTTCCAGAGAATCAGCATTAGAATCAGTCAACAAGCGTGCTGACATTACCCCTCTGTCACATCCCCTTTCAGCATCACTTCTTGAAGCACAGTTCTGTGGTGCACATGAGGAATTACCTTTTACAGACTTCTGCTTCCTTGTGTGCATTTTAACTTGATCTTGGGCTCTTTCAGTGGCCAGGTGGTGACTACTCAGCTTTAAGTATGACTCAGCTGAGAGATGGTCCTCTAGTTTCAAATCTTTTATGTAATTTTGCTCCTTACCCTCTTCCACAGTGTTACTTGCTTTGCTTAATATGTTACTCTCTTGCACTGGATATACAGCAGCTTTTACTGGTTCTTTAGATGTTGGGCTGTAATTTTCCAGACAGTGCACATCTTTTTCACACATCTTCCCTGTTTGTTCACTTTCCTCTTTATTATAAGAGGCAGGAGGGATTTTACATGGAGGAGCCGGCTCCACCAAAGGCACTTTGAGTCTTATGTTTCTAATAATTTGCTTTAAACAAATTTGTAACTTGTGGGTTTCCTGACTAGTCAACTGCCAACCTAGAGATAAATTTCCTCGCAAGAATAAGTTGAGCTTATCCCAGAATGGCTTACAAGGAGTCTGCTGCCCAGGCTGATAACCTTCTTTAAGGAGACTTCTAATCAGTTGCACACAAGCGAGTTGTACAGAGTTTGACGGCATTGGATGCAGTGACAGAGACGTTATCATTGCTGCTCCTTTGGAGCCACTGCCAGATGACTTCTCAGAGCTCCGGGCAAATGCAGTGGTGGGAAGCTTGGCACATTTCACAATGGCTTCCACCCACTGCTCGGCGCTAACCCAGAGCAGATGCAAACATTTTTTACTTCTGTGGAGTTCAACCACTGACACCAAAATAAGAAAAAAAAATTCAGTGACTTTGTCACACACAACAGCTGTTTGGTTGAGAACATCTTTGACTTGGGAGTGCAGATGGTGAATGACCTTTGCTATATAAGCCACACCCAAATCCTTAAGATCCATGAGGGACTGAACAAAAGGGATGAACCACAGAAACGTGCTGTTGTGAACACGCATGTCTTGACCAATATCTGACTGAAGCACGTTGGCTAATGTTTCCATTTCTTCATACATGTTAGGACAATAATCTGGGCAAATGGCTGATCTCCATCCTGAATCCTAAAACAAAGAAATACTGACATTCAGTCAAACAAACACCATTTGTGACAGGGTTAGCACACAAATTGTAAACAAGAATGTGCCAAGCTTCCCACCACTGCATTTGCACAGAGCTCTGAGAAGTCATCTGGCAGTGGCTCCAAAGGAGCAGTAATGATAACATCTCTGTCACTGCATTTTCCTATTTTGGTTTACACATACCCTCAAGAAAATGAAACTGTAGTTCAATTCTGAGGTGCAGGTTTCATGTAATGGTAAACTTACACCACCTCCATGCTACTCTAACCCTCCTTCCATTAACTGGTTTTGATTTCTAGTCCTGGCACTTATCTCCCCATCCAATAAACTTCCACCCTTCCTAATGCACTTAAAAACTAAAGTATGCACGTTGTAGTTAAGTCCATTACTGCCGCATGCACAACACGTCTGGTTCAACCATAAAGCCTTTATGCAGCAGCTGGTTCAGGATAGCCACATATCATAAAATCTGCAATTCAACTAATTATGTAAAACATGGCCTTATAGATTAAAGGCAATACAATGTCACCTAAATGCTCAAACTGTTGTATACCTTTTTGGTCTTTTCAGGGTTATAATTATACACAATCTGGCTGCAAGTCACCATACCATCCACACAAGACTCCGGTTCTGTCTTGGCCCTGGAACATGAGGAATAGGGAGAAATTACAGAAATGATGAGGAAAGAGAGAGAACCCCTCTTGTTAAGACACAACAGAGTTCCTTGCAAATAACCGAGATCCTGGCACATCACGAACTAACCTCACAGAGCTGTTGCGTATGTTCTGGATCTCTCTATTGTAGCTCACATTGTTGATAATGATCTGAAAGGCCTCAATAGGGTCAATAAGTTGGCCCCAGACCTTAGATCGCAGGCGATCCAGAATGACCATGAAACAGTGCAGGGCCGGCCAGAAAGGATCTTCGCTATCATCTGAAATACAATGGAGTTATTGCCAAATTACAAAACAGTCAGAAACAATACTAAACCATATTGAGAATTAAGCAGTTTTGATCTGGGTAGCAACAAAGCTAAAAACAAAGCAGCAAGAAACGAAAAGTAAAGTACTGCCAATTACAGGTTTTAAAAAACTGGCAAATTTTTTAATTGTTTTTGCATTTTTTTCGAGCAAAAGAAATTTTTAAATGGGGAACAAATTGAAATAGTCTAGGTAAACAACTTTCCCACCGTTTGCCACACCTGAAACGGTCTTTCCTACTCAGCCCAACTTCTCCCGGAACTCCCTTCCTTCAAGAACTCCGTTGCTCCTTAATGTCTGCTAAGAATAGTCAAAGTCCCCAGTCAAGCACTTACAAGGCTGTCCTCTATGGTTTCTCCCTAGCTTTATCACACTCCCGTAATCATTCCCTGCCTGCAGCACAGACAGGTAGCTGGCCTCTCCCCAAACAAGCAGAAAGCCTTCACATCCACCACCTCTCAAAGCCCTCGGACCCCGTGCAGCTCCAAAGCTTCCTCCCCGGCACCCGTGCCCAGCCAGGCGGCCGTCTATGGCAAGCGCCCTCCCTCCGAGGCACGCGCTCTAACTCGCTGCGCCGTCCTGTTCTCCAGTCTCCCTAGAAATTCCAGCTTTACCGCCTTCAGGGCCCTTAGGCTCCACTTTTTATCATACAGCCAGTCATGCAGACCTTGTCATGTACTTTCTTATCCGCTACTGCGGCCGACACACTGTCTTACGTGTCGTAAGCTGTCAAATTAAGGAAGGGTGTCAACAGTTCGGTGAAGACAATTAAGAAAGGCTTCAGAGAGGTGTGACATTCTGAAGGTTAGGGAGCTGAAGTGACAGAGAGAACAAACTTCTACGTGCGAGGCATGCAGAGACATGAGCAACTTATGTAGTAAATGCTGGCAAACAAATTAGTAAGAGTCTTAATCAGGAATACTTGAGCAAGAAAATGTGTGATCAAAACATAACAACAGGGCCCTGCTGGGTTGCTCAGTGGTGAGAGCGTTGGCCTTGGACTGAAGGATCCCAGGTTCGATTCTGGCCAAGGGCATGGACCTTGGTTGGGGGTTTGATCCCCGGCCCCTGGGCTCGTGCAGGAGGCAACCAATCAATGTGTCTCTCTCAAATCAATGTTTCTCTCTCTTTCTCCTCAGCCCCCCAACTCTCTCTGAAAAGCAATGGGAAATATCCTGGGGTGAGGATTAACAAAAAGAATAACATTTACATATTTCAGAATCTCCCACAAACGAGTTCATAGCCACACTCAAGTTGCCTAAAGAGGGCTCAAAGTGGGAAAATGACATCTATTATCTTTTCATAGAATCTGACACGCTTGGTCTCTATTGATTCACTCCTTCATAAAGAAGACAAGAGTAGAGACACTTATTTAAGCACAAATTCTCCCCAATCGGCCTGATACAATCACAAGCAAAAGAAGGTTGGGTCTAATAGGAAACATGACTACAAGTTTTAGACCCTGTTTTCTTGACTCTCTGAGCGGTGCCATCCCAGAGTTTTCTGTGGTGATGCAAATGTTCCACTTCAGTTCTGTTCAACACAGTAGGCACCAGAAATAAACTAGTAGACCTGAAAAACCAAGTCTTCTATTTTTATTTTAATTTGCAGAGCCACAGTTGACTAGCAGTCACCAGGCTGGACAGTGAAACAATAGAGAACCAAAATGAAATGAAGAACCAGGAAAAAGAAACAGTGGGACAGGGAAGAATTTCTCCACAATTTTAACTAAATTGCCATTAAAAATTTATCTCCTATACATTCTAGTCTTAATTCTACCACTAACTGGGTGTTTCAACATGAAAAATTAAGTTGACTTGGACTTCCATGTCTTCTTTGATGAAAGAAAGGCGTTGAATTAAACTCTAAAGGTCCCTTCCGATTTAGAATTCTGAACCTGTGACCTAAACCACAAAAGTTTCTTTTCTCCACATCGTTCACCCAATTCTTGCAGTGACACCAGTATATCATTACCGTATTGAAAAGCATTTAGCAAACACAGTGCGTTACCCTCTGACTGCCTCTCCATGGTGTGAAGTATTGCCTGCATGAAGTCGTTCTGCTTGTCTGAGCCCAACAGCAGTGAATCCATGGCTTGCTCCTCCAGAATGGACAGCAGCATGCAGATGCCTGCAAGATCATTTACAGTCTCCTCAGGCTGATTAAATACTACTACCCTCACACCTCCTCTGGTTTAGCTGGCAAAAAACCAACAAGGCAGGCCCTCGCCTGTGTTGCTTGGTGGTTAGAGCGTCAGCCTATGAACCGAAGGGTCACAGGTTCGATTCTCTCCCAGTCAAGGCAAGTACCTGGGTTGCAGGTTCAATCCCCAGCCCCACTGGGGGGGGTGTGCAGGAGGCAACCAATCAATGTTTCTCCCTCCCTCCCCCCACCCCCCTTCTCTCTAAAAATCAATGGAAAAAATATCCTCTGTTAAGGATTAACAAAACAACAACAACAAGAACAACATGGCATAAAGATGAAGCAAAACAGAATCCAGTTCCTCAGATATTTAACCCTTGATATTTTCATATACAACTGCTCCTGAGTAACAGGACTTGAGAGTGATTTGAGAATAAAGAGAACACGGCACAAACTTGGTCAGAAAACAGTTTCTAAGATGAATACCACACAATCTGTATTTCATCAAATCTAAGATGGCCTCAATCTTAAGATCGCCACATTTCAAGTACCAACCACTGCCAAATACAACCCAGGACTGTAAGACTTCCAATCAATGAAGTAGGGTGGAACTATTTTGAGTCAGTGTAGAACTTGTTGAAAACCAAAACTAGTATCTCTTTCTATGGGGGAATATTTTACAGATGGAAAAAGAGGCATTAAGCCTGTTTTTAAAGCAGATCAAACACTATTAAAGTCAACTGCTCTACCAGTATTTTTTTACATCTAATATTGCTTCAAATAAAAGATCTATTTGCTATATTTGAAAATGCACCTCTCACACAGATGGTTTCTAGAATAAATGTGTAAGAACAAGATGTGTAATGGTTATGTCAATTTAATGACAAAAGGATTGGAAATTAAGAAATCCTGTATTTAGCAATTTTGGTAAGATTACCAAAAGAGACAACTTCCTTTTGCAGGATACTCATAAGAACTACAGGAAAATACTAACATTTGTGCAGTGACAATACTTACCTAACCAATAATTTTTGTAGTTGGAAGTGTCATACATGTGGGAGGGCAGGATGATCAGTTTACCCTTCTCAAGGACAGAAGTAGTATAAATGTCTGGATGTTCTAACAGGCCCAACTCAATGACTTTAAAAAGGCAAGTCAAAACCTCCTGTAAGTCATAATAATCATCTCTGTCCACTTTCCCCAAGCCTTTCGCAGTCAGGATAGCCCAACGCCGAACCTAAAAGCATAACACAGTCGTTACTTCATTCAACAAACAACTGTCTATACTCAGCAAAAACCTAGTTAAGAATATAGGGTTTCCTATAGATTTTAAAAGACACAAGATACTAGGTCCTGGCCACGCAGCTCAGTGGATTAGAGAGTCATCCTGATGCACCATGGATTCGGGTTCAATCCCCAGTCAGGGCACATACAAGAAGCAACCAGTGATGCATAAATAAGCAGAGCACAAATCGATGTTTCTTTCTCCCCCCCCATTCCTCTCTCTCTAAAATCAATTTATAAAAATATAAGACAAAGACCAAAAGAAGTTTTTAAAAGACACAAGGTACTAATTAATGCGTGAACCTTATTTGATCCTGATTTGAATAAACTAACCCTAATAAAGCATTTAGGAGATCATCACTTCCATTCATTTAAAAGCTAGAAATGGCATTAAAAATTATTATTTTAGGTGTGGGGATGGTATTGTTTTGTTTTTCCCCAAAGCCAGTATCAAACTCTGGTCAAGATGTCAGAGTAGATAAATGCCGTGCTCGCCTCCTCCCATGACCACATCAAAATTACAACTAAATTGTAGCACTACTACCCTTGAGAACCATCTGGACACTAGTTGAACAAGTCCCTATAGCTAGGGATATAAAGACGAAGCCATGTGGAAACTGTAAAAATACATAAATAAAAAGTCCTTATCTTTTAGAGACTTTCTGAAGTGTTCTATGGATGAAATGCTCTGGCGCCTCAGGTTTGCTCTAACAAATCCCAAAGGGGAGTATAATATTGACCACATATTAATAACTGACGAAGCTCAGTGATGAGTATACAGGGTTCACTATACCATTCTACTTTTACATGTTTGTAATTTTCAATGAAAGAACATTTTAAAAAGAGAAGGAAAATGCACAGAGGGACCTCAACAGAAAGCCCATGCAGCGAGCGCAGCGTCACGCTCCACACCCAGGCGCTGCTCCCTGCTGCGCTGCCGCCTCTCACACTCCTCTTCACCTCTAGGAACTGACCTTCTTTCCCTTCCCCTCTACCCCAGCCACACTTTTAAAAATCTCATCTATGAGTAAAATAACTTTTCCACACATTGTAGCTGGTGCTTTTGGAGGGGCACAGGCAGACAAGGGACGCGTGAGAACAGTCCCTCGCTGGCTCAGGCCAGCGCACTGGCAGTTCCAAGTGTTCCCTCTGTCTTCCGAGCTGAAGCAGCAGCTGTCAGAATACTCTGACAGACATTTTAAAAATGCACATCCAAACCTCTAATACAGCTATATATGCAAAAAAATAACCGTATGTCCTTCTGTTGCCTAACACTCATACTCACCATTTCATTGGGATGAACCAAAAACAAATAGATCCCAGGCTGTTTCTCAAAAACCTGAAAGGAGCAATTCGCTTGTTCCATCCGACAAAGTGCTTCAACACATAACTCATCTAAACAGAAAAAATAAGGCAGTAAATCTGATATACATTTTACCTACTTATCCGGAGTCCCTAAATCTCACTCCTTCAGTTGTTTTGTAAGGAAATGAAAACATGTCCCTTGTAAACGTAGGAACACTACGTACCTATCCCAAAGACTAACTGATCCCAGTGTGGTTCCTATGAGTCATTCTGACTTTACTGGTATATACATCTTTTTCTTGGCATAATTATCTCCATAGGGTGTCTCCCTAGAAGTATGGTTATAGGTCCAATTCCATCAGCATTTTACATTTTGATTCGTGCGGACTTTATTTGGTAATGGAGCAATAAAGAAAGTCAGCTTCCCCCCACCTCCCACCCCACAATGGCTATTTTGTCCTGCTCTCATTTACTGAAGAATCCCTTTTCCCCACTGGTTTAAAATGCTCCCATCATCAAACACTAAATTCCCCAAACATGGCTGCTTTATGTCTGAACACTACACTGCTCTACCATGCAAGCACTGCTCTAACTCCTGCTGCTTTATGAAACTTTCTTCTTTACTCTCTAAAGTGTCCTCAACAGACTCATATATTCACCCTATCAGCTGAACTGACTTTACTTTGTTAAGCTTCAAAGACTATGGTTAGTGACAGTGGCTGGCCCTGGGGAGGAGGGAATAATAACCTGAAAAGCATGAGGGGAGCTCCTGGGGTATGTCATCGTTTCTGTGTCTGTGTGGTGGCCACAAAAGTTGTGTTTAGTTGTGAAAAAATATCAAGTTTATATATTTTTCTGCACATAGTATTCTTTAATAAACATTTGAAAAAATAACTTGTTAGAATTTTAAAATCTATTTTTAAATGTACTTAACCAAATCTTTAGATCAACTTTCCAGTTTACTGAAAATACAGAGGGATAGACACATAAATTAAATAACATCACCAAAAAACAATGAGAAAAATCCAGAATGTGCATTATTCTACAGGGAAACTATATGGTCTCAACAAGTCAATTAAGGAAAACAAAACAAAAAGAAAAACACCAAAACACCACCACACCAGCAAAAAAGGTGTGTGCACAGGGCATGCACGAATACACTTCTGGGTTAAGAAGATGAAGAAAGGGAAACCAAATGTCACATATGACCCCTGCCTGGACTCTAACACACCAGCCAAAACACATTTGTGACTACGGGGCAATGTAAATATGGACTAGATATGAAATGCCTTAAAGGTGTTGTTTTGTTAGATTTGACAGATCAAGAAAATGTCTTTATTTCTAAGAGATTCACACTAAGATATGCAAACATAAATGACCTAAATCTAGGCAGCCATAACATGCTCTATTGATTCATGAAAATCACTGCAGCCCAGTGGTTCCCAGACAGGGATGACTCTGCCTCTCCCCAGCCCTGCCCAACTTCCAAGGGGGCATGTGGTACTTTCTGGAGACATTTTTTATTTGGTTTTCACAACTGGGGTGGGGGCGAGTAGGGTACTATAACATCTAGTGGATAGAGGCCAAGGACACTGGTACACAGAATAGTGCACAGAACAGTCCCCACAACAAAGACTAATCCAGTCTAAAATGTCAATAGCGCCAAGGCTGAGAAAGGCACAAGAACGAACACGTACTGAATGGGTGAATAAAATATATAATAAAGCAAATACAGCAAGACGTTAGCAATGGTGGACTCTACATGGTGTGTATGTGGGGTTCACAACACAATTTACTTTATGTTTGGACACTTTGACAACAAAATGTTGGGGAAAATACTAGTAAATATCCTAATTACATGTTTAGCAAACAGGTTTTCATACAGATAAACCTAAATCCTTACAATTCCTGAGATGATAAAACTGATGTAACTTGCAGAACACTTGATACTCACTAACATGCTCATGTAAAAGCAGATACGGATATTTCAGGACTTCAAGAAGAGGAACGCGAAGCTTATTTTCAAAGTCCTGGCCAGTGAAGTCAAACAGCTGTGCCTCCCCATTGTTGTCAACTATATACAATTCATCATCATCTTCGATTTCCGCCCTCATGGACTTTTCAAAGTGGTTTATGAGACGGAAGGTTTCTAATTCCCATAAAGCCTACAGGAAAAGAACAACGGGCACCGTGCTTTATTTCTGGTTGTCAGCAGAATATTCCAGATGTGAGGGCCTGAAAGTCTTTCCTAAGCATAGGATTCAGAAACTTAAAGTCCTACAGATCACATATTAGATTTGTTGGAAGAAGACGGTCACTAATTATGGCCGCATTATGATACATGAACATGAGTGCAGTAGACCCTTGATTTTGCAGGCTTCGGTTTAACAGACTTCAGATTTAACAGATAACATTTCTGGCCCGCATGTTGTATGTGAAAATTAACACCCTATTAATTTTAAAATGCTTTTAACCAAGATTTGCTTACAATTAAATTAACAAGTTATTTTTTTGTTATTAATTCAGTTATTTTAAACAAATGTTAGCGAATAGGCCATATGTTGGAAAAAACACTGTAGTAATTTTGAATTACATACGTACAACTATAGTCCACATATTTAAATCCAAGAGTCACCACTCATAAACAATGTTGCACGTGGATCACACTGCCGCACAGGGTAATTAGTGCTGTTGACTGGTGTCGTGACTTTCTGCAGCAGTTTTAACTCGTGCAGGTGGATTTTGCCACGTGCGCTAAGCCACTCCCCAGCCATGTGCATGTGTTTACTGGCAGTGACTGGCGAATGCACACATTTACTAGACCCATTCAGTATAACTTTAAAATCATAGTAATACATATAGAAAACTTTTCTGTGAAATTAAACTTTTCATACATTCTTAATTATACAAACGTGTCTACATTAAGTAAAAGGTCAATTTGTTTAACATGCACATTTGGAAAACCTACTTTATTATATAACAGACTTTCGGCTTTAACGAACACCCCCTCACCTGAATCAGTTCCATATCTTGAGGTTTTACTGTACGCAGAGCACGAGAGGTTTAAACACTGCTCGTACAGAGTTTCACTATCAGAGTCTCGACGTGCAATCAGCCCACTAAACAGGAAATGAGGAGCTGGAGCTTCTTTGTCAAAGGCAAGAGCTAGGCCTTCTCTGTCCCTGTCTAGGCTCCAACCTTCAAATATGTATCTTCCTTAAGACATCAGCTTCAGCATAAAGGCACTGTTTGCGTCATAACTGGGAAACTTCGTAATTGCAAACATTTTCCCAACAGAGTCATAACTCATCCCCCTCCTGCTCTCTACCTTGTATTTTCCACCACATAAATGTAATAAACCAAGTATTCATGGCTACATATTTAAAACTGTATGTTTTACTTTGGTTTACTATGACTAGAAAACATGCTTGCCCTTAGAGGTTTATACCATTTACCCATTTAAAAATAAAGAGAGGGGAAAAAACCACCCAAGCCATTCAGACACATGAATTTATAACACTGTCAAATATACTGACATAAACACATAAACCAAATACGCCCATACATCACTTCATAAAGTTGTTTTATATCAAAATGACTAAAAGTGAGAGGTCATAAAATTCTGCTTTATGTTTCAATTCAATTCCCTCAGTCGGTGACCACTGACTCAGCACCTATTGCACAGCAGGCAATGAATTAGGTACTCGAGGTACGTATTGCCTTTCAAGTTTAAATGAGCAGTTCCCTGAATGCTCCCAAAAGAGGTCAAATTTATTTTCTTCCTAGTTATCAAGCATGAAAAACACTCCCCAGGTGATGTAACTTACCTCATGCAAGAACGGCAGCTCGTCCCTCGCCCTGTGGTACTCGGTCACACACTCTAAGCAGTAGCAGAGGTCCTCGTCTGCGGTCTGGAACTCACTGGACGAGGTCCTGGACGCATAGCGCTGCAGGAACTCAACGGTGGACACGCCACCTGGTGTACACCAACAGCACGTGCTCATTCTGTACCTGTATCCAGAAAAACCAACGACTAAAGCAAACAAGACACTTCAGGTCTGTTCTGTGCAAAGGATGGGTGCATTTCCTCTAACGACCATCACCCTCAACTGGAAACCTACCTCCACCACATCCAGAACCACCTGCTGGCCAGCTGCCAGCGCGAACTAAACTCAAATCTGAGCCCACTCCTCAAACCTTGTCTTTGACACATGAAAAATATAATAAAATGAAAGCACTTCGTTAGTTATAAACATCATAAGGCAATACAGCTGTGCTACAGAAAAGGCTCAGAACTATGTAATACTGATAGGAAATATATTCAGACAGAGAACTGCCAGTGTTTCCACGTACAGACACTGGGTGTCTTGCTGACATACTGAAGCTGAGTCAAAAGCTCAGGAAACCGCCCTGGCCGATTTGCTCAGTGGTTAGAGAGTCTCCTGTGGACTGCAGGGTCCTGGGTTCGATTCTGGCCAAAGGCATATACCTCTGTTGCTGACTCAATTCCCGGCCCTGGTCAGGGTGTGTGCAGGAGGCAATCACTTGATGTCTCTCTCTGTCTCTCTCTCACATCGATGTTTCGCTCTCCCCACCCCCCCGAAAAGCAATGGAAAAGATGTCCTTGGGTAAGGATTCAAACACACACTCAGGAAGCCTTTTACTCATCCATACCAACAACAAAAACTCACGGAGAGCATTTCCTCTTGTCTACAAAGAATATATGCACATGAATTTGCCCGAGTGAATTGCTGCCTCATCAATGCACTGCTCATCAATGCACTGTACCAGCTACAAATGTTAATCTATTGCTACTGAGTCTGATACTTAAGTTTTTGACTGTCTCCAACTTTTTGTTTTGATAATACCATCAGCCTCTACCATCCAAGATCAAGAGAAAAGGTTAAGATTAAATACTTTTCTAAAGCCTAGCAGTGCCAAGGAGAGCAAAGGAGCAAGAGTATACCAGGACATCCCGATAACCAAATGAGTCAAAGATTTGAAAAAAGACCTATGAGGCAGGTTTATCAGAACTGCAGATGGCATGAAACTGAAATTAGCAAATACGAGGAAAGCCAAAACCCAGAGAGATCCCCAAGTCTAATGAGGTGCAATAAAAATAAGCTAAGATCTATTATTTTTATCCCTAACTAAATGCATATAAAAGCAAACAGGATGCTCATTGCCAGTAAGCAGGGTATTGTGGCTAAATCAAATGCAGATGTTGGCATTAACATAAACAAACAAGTAAATAAGTGAGAGAGGGAGGGCATGAGGGAGGGAGGGGTTGGGGCAGGGAAAATACAAGGCGAACCCGGAGCACCTTCTAGTGCCAGAAAGTGCTCAAAATACAAAAGGATGGGGGGGCATGGCAAAGGGACATAGGAGCCAACCTGAAAGAGCTCTCAATGGCCAAAGCTCAAACATTTTGAACAAAATAAATGTAATATTTGATTATAATCCACAGTATAAAGTAAATATACATGAATCCATACTGGTATAAATAAATGGTTGAATAAACAAATGTGGGAGAAGGGACAAAAATCTTTCTTATAAAGAATTCCAAATAATATATTGACACTCACCATTCCGAGAGGCGGCACTTAATCCCACCCCATTTTGAGTGCAGGCCAGACTTGGTAAATTACCTCCAAAGAAGAGAGTATGGAAAGGGGAAAACAGTAATTTACAGTGGAGACACCTGGCAAACACAACCTTAACCAAATGCTCAAGGTTAACATCACCAGTGTGACCATGTTTATAACCCCTGACGCAGTGTGAGGAGGAAGCAACTTCAGTGCTGCAGTCTGCTTGCCCCAAACCCGTGAGCCCCAGTCTATGCACGAAGAAACATCAGCCACACCCAAAGTAACACCTCAACAGCTATCAGCCCGTCTGAAACAAGAAGCAAACCACACTCAAAGGGAAGCAAAGCGAGAGTTCTTTTATATGAAACTAATGACTGACTGGGAACTGGGCCTGGAAATTATCCAACAAACCTTGTCTTGAGAAACTTGACCTTAAGTATACAGTGAATGTAAAGTATCACCTAATGGGAAAGAAAAGTTATAAACTCAACTAAGTTCACTTCCTAAACGGATGGACCTGACCCATGCATTCTCCTCAGGGGTGATATCATCCTCAGAGATGAAACTGGTTAGTCCTACTCTTTTTCTGTACACAGCACATACATGTATAAACTATACAGACATATATACCACATTACTAGTTTTAAAATTCATGGGAAATTCACAGGAAAGAAATGCCTAAAATGTTTCCTTTCAGGAAGGGGAAGAAAGGACAAAAAAATGGTTAAGAAACATGAAATGAATACTTGGGCACAGAAACTTGGCAGTGTGCAGCTTTTGAATGCGTATCACCCTAAAATTCAGACATCTTTTTGTTGTTAATCCTCACTGGAGGATTATTTTTTTCCCATTGATTTTTAGAAAGAGTGAAAGGGAGGGGGAGAGGGAGAGAGAAACATCGATTAGAGAAAGAGACATCAATTGGTTGCCTACTGTACTCGCCCTGACCAGGCTGGGGATGGAACCTGCAACCCAGGTACTTGCCCTTGACCGGGAATCCAACCCAGGCCCTTTGGTCTGCAGGCCGACGCTCTAACCACAGAGCCAAACCGGCCAGGGCCAGATACCAGCTTGACAGAAATCATATTTTACTGCTGAGGCTTTTGTGGCATAAAGCCGGTTCTTTAAAATAAACTGACTTTTTTAAAGCTTCCTTACTTTCTTCTTATACCGATGATTAAAGACTAACACATAAATGCATAAGTATAATCAAATACATATTTGTCTTATGAATTGATTTTTATTTATTAAATATTGTGTACTTTCTTCATGCTCCTAAAAAGAATTTAGGGCAGCTTTCAACATTTAAATACTACATATACAAAAGGACATTTAAAAAGGAGACTTAAAAAGAGCGAGCAATCCAAACTTATTTGAAAGAAATTTAATTTCACTAAGTCCTAAGTTAGGAGCTCCCTGAAGAGCAGAGCAAAAGGGTACTGTGAGGAGCAGTCGTCACTGCATGCTAGCTCCTGGGGAGTCCTGCCCTTCCTGATACCGATGCTAACTGAGTTCATTTTACCAATGCCTACCTTGCACAAGGGTGCTGCAAACTAGGGACTACCAAACATATTGAATATCATTAGGTTTTGCAAAATATAAAATTACTTTATTCAAAGCACAGTTTCTTGTACCTGAAAAGCCAATCACACCACCAGGAAGTTAAAGTGTGCAGAAGACATTTTTTTCTGGTGATCTAATTCAATATGGGGAGTGAACTCAGACTTAACAATAGAAAGTGAAACTTGAAGATTCATCAAACATCAATTACTTCAAGCATGATTTGACAGGAAAAATAGATTTGCAGTCTATTGAAACCGAAAAAATTACGGGACTGAAGTAAAACAATAACTTTAATTGTTACAACATGTTAACAGAGCAGTTAGCAAAACAAACCTTCCATTAACAAAATTCCAGTGTCCGCTTTTTATTTCACTCACTCAAGAGTGCTAGGCTACTCCCACACTCAAAAGCAGGAATAAATTTTGTCCAAGTAGATGGGAGTTACTCCCATATAACTAACAGCTAAGCACCATGGAATCTACATACACAGAGAATGGTGCTATAGGACACATCACGAGAACATGCTTCGGTGATTCCGCTCAAGTTGCCATAATATGCATGGTTACGTCCCCAAATCTAAACCACCACTGGCCTGATAGCTAAGCCCAGCAAATTCTGAAAAGAACATATTGTAATTTTCCTTTTAAGGGAAAGTTACTAGTAGATGACCATGAATCCTGTTAAGTTTTTGCCCAACTCAGTTCTTCTGGAGGTTGGTTTTGTTAATTTCATCAGATTTTTAACTGCTTGGAACTATTACTGAACCACAGATGGGGGTTTCCAGGGAATCCTCAAGCTGTAGGACAGAAATAAGAACCACTCCCCAAGCATCAAAAAGAGCCAATTTATACTGTCTACCTTGGACAATGATGTGTCAATAACACAGGCGTGTAGCCAACCAGACGTGTAGCTGGAACCTTCCATAGACTCACCCTGGGGATATCACTTCTCGATATCAGCTAGCCAGAAACTTCAAATAACCACCTTCTTCTATCCTTCCCTGCTAAACTTCAATTTTAAAAATTTTTTAAAAAAGAAAAAAAAGTGATGCATAAAATGCTACTAATGCAGGTTGCATCTTAAACTGTGAAACAAGAAAGGAGATGCTGGCCACGCGCTCCGTAGCTAAGACGCCACCCCGTCTTCCATTCTCCGAAACCTCTTCCTTTCGCCGCTGTAGATATTCAAGTTTCCAAAGGCTGAACTCAGGATTCTAACCTCAATATCCTCTTTCTGGGTGACCTAATTCAAACCACTGCTTCTACTACTACCTATTCTGAAGCTTCCCAAAGACTCAGAGCGTGTGTTAAACTCTCGATGCAGTGCTTAGCTGTGTTTCAGACGCTCAGTAAGTGACAGCCTAGCCCAGAAGTCCACGAAGATACAGTCAACATCCAACTACACAGGGAACCTCTACTCACCTGACAGGCACCTCCAAGTAAAAAGACCCAGAGAAGAACAAAGGCCTTCCCTTCACTACGGTACTCTGTATTCACGGCATTACGATCCCCTCAGTTTTCAAACCAGGAGCCTGGCAGTCACCCTATACTCTCCCCCTCAGCCCCACTGCTCGGAGTTCCAAAGAGCCCACCTCCTCACTTACACCTGCACTTTACTTTCAGTGAGACTGCCACGGCCTTAGTTTAACACATTCTCATTATTTGTCTGGATTATAGAACACGCCTCTTCTACAATCTATGGATTCTTCTGCCTCTTGTTTTGACCCACCACCAATTCCTCCTCCAAAATGCTGCAAAAGGGCAAAGAAAAAGCACAAGTGACTCCTCCACAGTCTTGGGATCAACTTCAAATTTTGAGCTCAGCACACAAGGCCCTGCCTCATTTGGCATCAACATCAGCTCTTGCCATTCGGAACCCTCACCTGCTCTCCTGAAGATGCTTCATGCTGTTTGGCAGTCTCTGCCTTTACGGAAGCTCATCCATCTCCCTTGAGCACCCATCCTTCATACCTCTGCCTGGTTCTTAACCCTGGTAAGTGCATCAAACTCACCAAAGAAGCTTAAAAATTAAAATACATAAATAAAGGCAGATGGCGAGATACTACTGATAAAATTCAGATTCAATTGTTTAAAAGAATTCCACCAGTGACTCATAAAAAGCCAGATGTGAGAACTACCCTTGTGCAACCAACCCATCCCTGAGTGTCATCATGTCTGGGGCTCCTCTGACCCACCCTCTCCCCTCCCTTCGGTCTCCTAGGACCTTCTTATCCATTGCCTCAGGACTCTGTTTCTATCACTGCACTTCCAAGTGGGCTGAGCTGCTATTCTCAGCAATTCTGAATCTGTAGGGTAAAGATCTGTTCTGTACAATCACTTTTACTCCAGCGTGGCACATATCAGGTGACTGAAAAAATGTCTTAAATGTTTGCTTAATAAATAAGTACCTGGGCTAATGGCTTACAGAGATGTGATCCTCTCAGTCGAGATTCTGGGGTGAGGACTTGCATTCATACATACCCTGACTCTGCTCCCAAAAGAACATTTCTGAAATAAGGAAAAACAAGAAACAAAAACTGATAAAGCAGTACTTATACTCTGAGTTTCACACAAATCCAATTAAGCAGAGCCAGATGTTTCGTTTGATGAAAAAGCTCCCGCTCACAGAGACTATAGACAACTTGCCTCTGTAGGACCCAAATAATGAAGAAATGGTGCAGCTGCGGTTCGGACTCCACAGGGGGCACTCAGGGCCCTGGGGCTGGGCCCACTCAGGAACCTAGGCACTTGTCAAAAGTGCCCCATGAGAAAATGCAGGCCTGCTCGCCCTAGGACCGTCGGCCACGGACTCACCTCGGTCCCTTCAAAGGTCACGCCCCCTCCTAACTGCAAGGCTCTTTCCCGTCGAGCCCCGCGCCTGGTGCCCGCCGGGCGCCCGGTGCCCGCCGGCAGGAAGGCGGGGTGGGCACACAGCGCGCCTCTGCCGGCTGTCGGCGCTCCATCACCTTCAGGTGCCAGGGGGGCTCAGGCGGCAGGTCGGGAAAAGCGCTCTCTCCAAAGGGAGAGACTCCGGAGCAGGAGAAAGGCAGGGGCGTCGAGGGGACCATACTTTCTGCACCGAGACCCCCCATCCACCCGAGGACACTACGCGATGCCCAGACCAAAACAGCTCCCACGATTCCGCGCCATAGACACCGCGAAGGGAGGAGAAGGGCCCCCAGCGCCCGGACCCCGGGGTGCAGGAGGCAGCAGGGCGCGACCCACCAGGC